GAATCTTGAACAGACTTCACACTTAATTTTAGACATGCTTGTTATTAATGAAAAACCGCATTAGATCAAGAACTGCCTGTCTCTATCTTCAGCTTTATCTTCGACATCACTAAAGGTTCTTTTGGTGTGAGTTTTGTCTTCTTGAAGAATACTTGGTTCATTATAGAACTTTATAATACATGTTCAATAATCATTAAACAGAATCAGTGATGATCGCTGAAACTGAATAAAACAGAACTAAGTATTTTTGGCTAGGTATAAAAAGATTATCATCAAATCATTGAGAGAGTCTGGATCAACAATTCTAGTTTGGACCTTTCCCTATATAAATACATATATGTCTGTAGAGGTTCAAATAAGAAGGTCTAAAATTTTAAAAATTAAAGAAGTAATTTCAACTACTATTTTAAAATTTAAATTTCCAAGTCATTTTTCAGTAATTAAGATAACTATGGAAAAAATAAAATATCCTAATTTTTCCTCTATATTTTCTATAACATTCTTTGGATATTGATAATCATTGATTAAATTTCACATTATTTTATAATTCACAAATCGAATTAAATCTCATTGCCTAGATCTCATATGTGAATACGAACATCGACATTTTTCATTGGTTCATATGTGAACATGTGAATTATAACATAGATTTACATGTGAATCTTAATCATAATATGTACATGATTCAATTTAAACTGAGATTCGTAATCAGTTTAAAATTCACATGTGAACACGCGAATCCTAACATAGATTCACATGTTAACGATAACGTAGATTCACATGTGAATCTTAATTATAATTTGTATGTGAATTAATTTATAACTTATAATCGAGATTCTGAATCGGCTTAAGAGTCATATGTGGATAATAAATATGTTTTACATGCTCACGACATGTGTCACATAATAACACTGTCAATGAGTATGTAAATCTACAGAGTCACACACAAGAAATACATATGCTTCTATATGGTTATTAATAACCAGAAACCCAAATTATGTCATGTTGATTACTAAAATAGTTATTATAGCAGAATAACTAAACTATGTGTTTATAGAGTAATTACGATAATAACAAGGTTTTATTTGTAAAATGTATTTTACGATCAATTGTATCATGATTAATAAAATTAAATAGAATCTTTATCGGCTTAATAGATTTATTTGCTTAAGGATAATCACAAGTCCAACCTATGATTGAGTATTATGGTTAGTCTTTAGTTGAACGAGACATACTACATGTAAAGGGATAAATCCATGTCAAAAAGGTTAATAAGCTAATCTCTTAGATCTAGATATTACCAAACAAAATGAAAACATTTTTTTTCCTATTATAAATATACTACATTAGGGTTTTGGGCTAGCAACATGCCAATGCTTGCAACGTGTAGCCTATGCGAACGCACAAGGCATTAGATCTCAAAGGGAGCATCGAATTTTTATGTGTTATTAGCTTTGTTTAATCATATGGGATGTATATGGTCATCGAAGATAGTGAACAACCAAATTAATTCCTACTGTTCCCCACCACTTCTCGTTCAACTATTTTGATTCCTTCAAAGTAGGGATGAGCCACTTGGCTTAACTATGTCCCAAACCCTTTAAGAATATTACATTTCATTTGGTTAAAAAAATCAGCATGAGGGATTTTTTAGCATTCCCGTACAAAGCATCAGAAACCCTTGGACCGAACATGGCTAGCACCCGGTAAAAGCCAAGCTTGTTCATATGTGGATCTAAGTTACTTGTCAGAACCTGCCATATATCTAAACTGTAACCTTTTCAGAGAAGTTTTTTCTAACAAAAGTAACCTAAAATATTTCCACTATATTTAAAAGGTTACGAAATTGTTTTGAAATCCTACAGTAGTATCAGAGTGTTAGTCCAGTTGGCGTAACAAGGCTTAAACAATTGTAAAAGTGGGGGTTGAATACAAATACTCAAACTCTGACCAGTCCGATCAAATACATAGTCAATCACCTAATTATGAAATCTTTTCAAATCTGGCTTTAACAATAAGCATGAAATTGGTTGACCAAAAAAATCAAACTTTGACTTTGAAAAGTCAAAAAAGTTTACAAATTTTGCTGATGATGCTTCATAGGAAAAACTTTAACAAATGAACACCTTATTCAAGCACATGGTTATCTTGGGCAAAGGATCAAATAAGCACACAAGTAAGCACTTAGAGTCTTGAACAGTGTACTCAAAGTATATGTGATGTACTTGAGATTGGCTTTAATTGCCCATCTCTTAGGCGGATAACCCCATGAACCACGTATATTGCCCATGCATTGGGCGGTATACTCGATGAATAATGTATATCACCCATGCCTTGGGCGGTATACTCAAACTTCCTCTTTATCGTTCAACACAAGGAATGACATTGCTTGAGGCTTGAGCAAATTACAATTATATTGGGCAACACTTTATCGCCCATGATGTTCAAGTAACAAGACAAACTATAATATACCAAATGATCCATATGACAAGATCACTCAACTCATTGGATGATATAAACTTCAAAGCTTACATATATGGATATCACTTGATTTATTAGGCGATATATTCTTTTATCACTTAGCACATTGAGCGGTTTACTCCACGAAGGCTCATGACTTAGATGCTTTACATGGTTATCGAGCATAGCTTTGGGCGATACTTTGGATATCGCTCAAAACATGTGAATATTGTCTAAGTCCATGAATCGCTCTAATACAATCTCAAAAACACCAAGTTAACGAACATCTTTAATGGCCAATACTTAAATCGCTCAAATCCACCTTGGACTATTCAATGAGAGATGTTCATCACATATATCGCTCAATACACATATTCAATGAGCGATGAAGATAAATCTTGACAGTTTAAGTCCAAAAGTTCGACAAAACCATCAAATAAACCCCAAAATGATGATTGAAATGAGTTTGTATTCACCAGAAAGCAAATCCTTTTAAATGAATTTGATTAAAATCTCTAAGAATATGGTGAATTGATCAATTAAGCCCAAAAAGTCGAACAAGAAGCTTGTTCATGGTTGAGCACTGTTGTCATTGATAAAAACAGATTGTTTTACTTAAAATTTGTTGTAGATAGATTGATTGTATCGAAAAATCAATTGCACCTGCTCTGATACCAATTGTTAATCCCAGATCATACAAAAAATTAAGCAAATAGATGTAGATTGAGATGAAGAGAGATGAACATGAAGATGAATCGACAAGATTCTTTATTAGAAAAAACATAAATTACAAAAGAAACTCTCTCTCAAAGTTGGTCGACTCTCATGTGAATTACAGAATGAACAACTATAAATTCTAAGCCTATGACTCCTATTTATAGGTCATTTACAAGACATAAGCCCAATGCCCATAGCCCGAATATAGAGATATCATAATACAAATTATAAAGGTTGATTTTATAAAACTTTTAGAAACTTATGACTATTTTAGTCCTAACACGATGAAAGTTTAAGGAAGACTTGAAGACACAACAACCCATGAAGGTTGTCCAGTTAGCTCAATACATCCTGTTATCAGTGCAATTTAGAGCTTTTATGTAACAGTTCCCAGGTGGACCCGCTCCCTAGGTAAGTTACATTTTAAATTGTAGTAGTGATTTTTTCTCGTTACTTGTACGGAATATTTCATATTTTTGATTATATATGGGTTGGTTTTGTATTTTGTACAGGAAAGTACCATATTTTAAAGTTATTTTTTCAAACGAAGTATAATCACTGAGGGAATTCCTTTGGTGGTTATGGGTATTGCTATCGACAATCTGTCGGCAGAGATCATTTGAAAAGATAAATTGTCTCTCGAAAATATGTTGGTAATCCTTCCCTCAATTCACTAGTGATGCACACCGTCTATAACCCATTTGTAATATGTACCCTCGGTAATCTATCGATGAACCGAGAACTTGATAATTTGTTAGTGAATTTTTGACGTCGGAAATTCATTGGTGATCCATCGGTGATAGCCGTTGGTAATAGAATCACCCACAAAATTTTATCCACCGATAGTTTTTACAATCGTCCAATGGTGATAGCCTTTATTAATATTTGAGGTAAACATCCTCTTTTGACATTTTTATCTTTACTATTAGTTTTACTTTTAAATCTTTGCAAGTCCCAAATTAGCAACAAATGAAAAAACTCCACATAAAATAAGAGAAGAGATAGCATAAAGAACATTTAATCTTATAATCTCAACTCGTGGGCAACAAAGTCGATTCTCATAAGCTCACCTTGTGTGTGTATGTAATTCCTATTCCACTCATGATAAAATAGCCCAAGTCATCTATTTATAGTGTCAAATTAGGGTCCATTTACAAATATTAAGCCCAAAATGTAAACAACCAAAACCCAAAATGTAAACAATCAAATTTGGGAGCTAATTAGATCTAATAATCTACCCCTAAAGTTTTATAAAGAAAGCATCTTTAGATAAACTCTCCCTTGATTGTTTTAGAAACTTCAATGTACCTCTCTTCAAGTCTTTAATGCATTTCAAGCTCCCTCTCAAATGTAGGCTCATGTCCTCGAAAAACTGAAACAAATAAACTTTCTATCCAGCTTTGATATGTCAACTTCATCACTGTTTTTACCATTATGCAGGCCCATCGTTAGAAAACGCAAAATATAAACATTGTTGGTATGTTTCTTATCTTTCTATCAAGCTTTGGATTAAACCATTTTGGATAAATATTGAACGAGTTGTGCATGTTTTCCCACAGTTCCGCAAAACAGTTGGTGAAACAAAAATTTGACTTTGCAAACCGAGTTATATAAACTTTAATCACCACGATATTGAGTCTTTAAGATCACAGAAGGAAGTGACATATAATATATGTCAAAATCACATCTTGAATCCATGAAAAGTAGTCGAGAGAACACATCCTGAAATTTGGAAGAATACGAGTGAAAATGAAATACATAGCTTTCTGTCCAGCACCTATCTATACACTTTGACATAGAATAAGGCATATAATCACATTGAATTTGAACAAACTCAAAACTGTAAAGTGGTATATATATGTTTGGGTTTCCAAAGAAACTGAAATCATGCATTTTGGAGTTTTGAGGAGAAAGTTGTGCGCAAAATGCTACAACAGCGCAAAGCTGTCAGCAAATTTGAAAATTGGGCTACGGGCTCTGGTTCCCCGTGATTTCTGGTCCTCGTGACCTTTGGTTTCTCATTCCATCTGGTCTTTTTTGACCTCTGGTATCGTGACTTATCGTCGCTCAAAGTTCTGGTTGCACAAGGCTCTAGTTCATCAAGCTTTTGGTTGATCATGCCTCTTGTTCTTAGTAACTTCTTGGTCGTTCAAGGTTTTCTTCTAGTCTATTATGACTAGAGCTTTTGGTCCATATAACCAAAGATTCTGGTCCTTCATATCTTGTCTTTGGTCTTTCATGGTTTGCTTCTGGTCTTTGATACACAAATCAACAAAGAAGGTTCTTATACGACAATGTTACACCGACTTCAACACCTTTTTTCACTAGCATACCTATGGAGTTTGCAAAAACTCAAAGAAGAAAAAGTGTAAAATGGTCTGTTAGCTACTTAAAAAATTTAAAATCACCTTTCTTGGAGTTCAGACGAAGAAGATATGATTGATGTAGCACAGTCGTGCAGATCTATCCAACAGCTTCTGTTTCAACATGTTATATTTGGCTTAAGGCCCCTTCTTCTATAAAGTACACAATTCATAATAGGCTCTAGTCCTTTACTCCAGAGGCTCTGGTTTGACACTCTAGAGGCTCTAAACCTTCTATGAATAAGCAAATCTGACTCCATGCATAACAGCTTTGCATCAGCACACTACTGTCAACTTCAACGATACATATGATCCATCTACAATATGAATCTATGAAAACTTAAAACATGAAACTTGTATATCCTTATGTTTTTCTAACCAGAGCTTTTTGAATCGACTCAATTGGTGCTCTGATAAATGAGATATGATGAATATACTACATCATTGCAAATCTGTTAGCATGTTGATTTTCATATTATCATCATATAGAAAGATGAGCCGATCTCTGTTAAACTTTTGAGAACAAAAATTACCAATTTCTGATTGATCATTTCAAAAAGTTGATTCCAGCAATCAAAGATCTAAAATCCTCTTCAGATCTGATTTTGAACGAGCAAAATAGAATCGAATCTTCTCACAAACATTTTATCAAACATGTAGAGTGCAGAACCAGATTGTTGAAATAATCAAGAGCATCTAACCTTAAATCTTCTCCATCAATCATCAAATCCGAGATTGAATCCCAAACAAACTCAAAACAACCTTCAAATGAAAAATATCACATAAATGGTACGTTGAGTTTTAGCACATATAATCGATCACTCTTCAACATCCAAATCATGAATTTAATGTTGTCATAGATGATAGATTGAAGTAGATTCACTTCAATTGGCTTTGATACCAAATCTAAACCCAAATTAGTAACAAATGAAGGAATTCCATATAAAATTAGAGAAGAAATAGCATGAAGAACATTTAATCTTATAATCTAAACTCGTCGGCATGATTACAATGAAGGGAAAATAGAGAGAATTACACACAATGAATCAATCGACTCTAATAAGCTGACCTTGTGTGTATGTGATTCCCATCTTACTCATGATAAAATGGCCCAAGACACCCGGTTATAGTGTCAAATTAGGGTCCATTTACAAATATTAAGCCCAAGTCTATATAAACAATCAAAGCTCAAAATACAAGAAACTTTATAAAACTTTCATCTAATTTGGGAGCTAATTAGATCTAAGAGTCTTTGATAAGAAGACTAGATGATTTCATATGCAATTATTCAAAAAGAAAATCTTAATGTTTGAAGACTAGAGGCCGTTTACCAAATGTTTATTCGGGTAAACGCTTACCAAGTCATATTTATTTACCGGATTAATATGGTAAGAACTAAGAATCTTACCTAGTAAGAGAAAAGGCACGGACCGAGAGTCTTACCTGGTAAGTGATGGCGACGACTCTTACCATCGTTAGTGCTTACCGGGTAAATTGTAACATACGATGTCGTTTTGGTAGACAAAAATCTTATCCAATAGAGTTGAATTTACCGTTAAATGCTTATCGGATAAGTGTTTAGGTAAACGGGCCCTAAATTTGAACAAAATATAAATAATTTAATTTAATTAGTTATATTTAAATAGAAATTTAACTAATTAAACCTAAATTAATTTTGTTAAAAAAATTAATGAAAATTGATGGAATTTATTTAATTAAATATTGAATTATATTCCGACGGTAAACATGTTCAATATTTTGTTATATTTTTCAGATTAAATAACTTTATCAACACATTAGCAACGTAATTTATTGAATAAATTTCCGATGAATCACCATGGAAATTTATAATTATATTATTAAATTTAATTTCGTCGTTAATTATAATTAAGAATTTTTATTTTTTTTAACTGAATAAATTATCCAAATAATTTATTTTAATTAAATTACGTGGATAATCTATTGGTAAATTCATTCGTTTAAAATTTTAGTCTTTTTCATATTTTTGAACAGAAAGTAAACGGATACAAGTCAAAGTCATCATTTTTTGACCGATTCATAGTGATCATGGGTGGATTTCTTTATGAGTGGAATCCATTGAGGTTTTACAGGAAATGTGTTCATAATACAGGAGAAGATAAATACAAGTGGTGTGAAAATTCATTCATAGGTGAATGGGTCTATTCGAATTATAATTTATTATTAACCGGTCAAGATGGATAAAACTACAAAAATAGTTAAAATAGAAACACAAAGACTTTTGCCCACGAATTTTTCATTCGTAAAAGTTTATGGTAGGTAATTCAAATCAGTAACAGATTATTCAAGTATTTTTTCGGTGATTCGTTGGTATTTTCTCGAAAAACATCGGATTCTACCAAACCATTAGTATTTTCTAGGTGATTCACCGACGAATATTTTCGTGAATGATTTTTGTGAGTAAAGATCATTATTTTGTAGTGTCAAGTGGATCGAACGAGTTGAAAGTAACACCAATGTGTATTACAAATGCACACAATCTCTTAAGTCAATCACTTTCCAAAAATGATAGATGATTTTATATTGGTAGTCATATTCAACAGATAGGCTATATCTACAAAAAAAGGAAACCGGACACGAATCATGAACCGTGTCCTAAAAAATTACCTTTCTTTACTGCAACTGTCACGACAACAAAATCGGGTTTATAGGACACTCCCAATTTCTAAGCGTCCTATAGACCTCTTTATAATACTTGGTTTATAAGACCAACAAAATAAAGTGTCATATCTAAAGGCGTTGTAATAGTTTATATGACGTGTTTTGATATCGTGATAAGTTTTGTAAGACATTTTTAATATAAAGTGTTCCATTAGCAACTTTATAGGATATTATTTGAAAAACTTTCCTATAAAACAAATTAATGTCCTATAAAAAATTGAGTTTATAGGACACTTTCTCAAAAGTGTCCTATAAAGTTACTAATGCGACACTTTATATTAAAAATGTCCTAAAAAACTTGTTAAGACGTCCGGAAGCGTCATATAAACTTGTTACAACATCTTTAGATAAGACGCTTTATATTTTGTTCCTATAAATGAAGTCCTATAAAGCGGTCTATTGAGACGCTTAAAGATTGGAGGTGTCTTATAAACCCAATTTCGTTGTAATGTGTTTTTGACTTATTCATCACCCCTCCAAGCGTATTCCGTTTTAGCACATCTATTACTAATTAATAGTAATATGTGTGCAATACCAAAAATAGAAAATTGACACTTAGATTTCTATATTAAATATTGAGACCACTTGATGGGCAGTTGTATATGGCCTCATTCTGGTAAAGTAACATGCTACTACTGCAATGGATATAAGAAAACCTTCACCACCATTAGATTCCTTCTTTTTGAACACTTAAATCTCTACTGTAAAAGCAGTCACAGAGGAAAGAATATTCTTTTTGTTTGTTTTATTTTTGTTTATTTCACTGTGCTTCAACATGGCAAGCGAATCATATTAAATGAGAGTGGTATATAAGGGGGTTGCAGAACACACACAATGGATCAATGTGTGTTAAGCTAAGTTAGAGAAGACAAGAGAGAAAAGTGCAACAACCTCGAAGCTAGTTCAAACTAGTGGGAGGTTGTCTGCCGAATTTAGCAGACATCAAAATCTGTACATTCTTCGTACCCGGTGAATTGGGTTTCCTTAAATCGTCTAAAGATCATCTAAGGACGTCCGTCACAAACCCAAAATCCGAACAATTGATATGGCAAGAGGTAAGGTACAGATGAGGAGAATCGAGAACCCGGTGCATAGGCAGGTTACTTTCTGCAAACGCCGTTCTGGGCTTCTGAAGAAGGCGAAGGAGCTTTCAGTGTTGTGTGATGCTGAAATTGGTCTCTTTATTTTCTCTGCTCATGGCAAGCTCTATGAGCTTGCAACTAACGGGTACGCACACTATATATACATGTATATATATATATATATATATATATATATAGTCAAGTTCATGGAAAAATCGTAAAAAAAATGAAAAACTGAGAAACACCAAGTAACCTCTACCTTATGCATATGTGCATACAGATAATTTTAAGCAATTTGTCTTGTATGCAAATGCGCATAACATGCATACATGCAAAAAAAAATTAAGAAACAACTTCAATTACGGGTTTGTACATGTACATAACTTTCGGATGAACGGTTATCAAGGTGTTTTTCAAATTTTTTTTTAGGGTTTTCCTTTGAACCTCCCTCTCTCTCTCTCTTTCTGTATATACACACACCCAACTAATTTCCTACTTTTCAATTACACCAGAAACTGTATAAAATAAGAGTTGTAAGGAAAGAACGCATCCACACAGAAGAAGCTATGAAAATATGAACATTATTTTCATTTCTACAAAAAAGTAACTAAAAACAAATCAAATAGGTAGATGTTAACCCGTCTATTAAAAGATGATAATGAAATTAAAGTAACCTATTGATACACAACTTTCACTGAATTATTGGGCACTTTATGCTTTTATTGGTTAATTGAACACCTTCAGATATTGGTTCACACGTGCACTCAACTTTTTATAGTCGCACGACCCATAAGAACACACACACACACAAACATGTAAATATATATATATATATATATATATATATATATGTTTGTGTAAGTTTATGCACACACATAGATCTTTATATGTCTTTTTTAACGTCTTTGTGCACTTTTGATTAAAGAAGCATGCAGGGACTACTAGAGAAGTATATGAAATCTACCCGTTGCTATGTGGAGGAACAGGCTGATGAAAAGCAAGTTCTGGTCTGTATCTCTTTTTTCCTCAATATATATATATATATATATATATATATATATATATTGATAGGTGTGGAAAAATATCTAAAAATATACATATATAGACTTGAGATCATGTGAGACCATACTTTTTTTTCGTGATACTCGTGAAACCACTTATTTACACGTAAAACTTCACAACAAAACAACAGACTTTTTTTACGTTCACAATGTTTTACCGTGAAGTTTCAAGTGTAAAAATATGGTCTAACAAGGGTTAAGAAAACAAGTTGTTCTCATGTCAACCCAACCAGTTACATATATATATATATATATATATACACATAAAACTTGTTATATATGAGAATCAGATGCTTTATTAATTAGTCAAGAAAAGTATCTTACAAAAAATAAGTAATCATGATAACAATTGTTTTTTTGACTTTAAAGAGCATTGTGAATAAGCGTTGAGGAATATATAGACAGCAGTAGTTAAGTACGTGTCGTCAAAATTCTATCAGCTTTATTACAAGCTTTTTATTGGTTCAGAACTCATAAACCGGAACTTTGTCTCTCTCAAAATGTTAGGTTCAGTATATATTCATAGTTAATGTGTTTTGGTATATAATTTGATTGATGTCTTTAATAAACTAATTAATCAAGACTATATTATTATACCATTTTAATCTTTGTAATTAATTTTTTTGACTTTTAGGAGTCGAAAATGGAGGTCAACATGCTGAAAAATGAGATTGAGGTTCTCCAGAAAGGCCTCAGGTCTCATCCCCAACTTACATCTATAAATCACTTTCTGTTCTGTCGAATTCACATGATCTAATATTCAGATGATATTTCGCGATTTGATAGGTACATGTTTGAAGGTGGTGCTGGAAAAATGACTCTGGATGAACTACGAATTCTTGAGAACAACCTGGAAGTCTGGATGTATCACATACGCTCAGCAAAGGTAATTAGTCTCATCATGTGTATATTGATTTTATTTTATTATATATATAATAGTGAGAGAGTAAAGGAAGATTCATGGGAAAACCTCAAAAACAAAAATGAAAAATTAAAAAACATTCTGGTAATCATTCATTTGTACGGTATGCGTATATGTATGTTGATAATTGAAGTTGTTTCTTGATTTTTATGCACATGTGTATACCAACCAAATTAATTTAAAAATGTCATATAAAACTTGTTAAGACACACAAAAGTGTTCTACAAACTTATTACAACGCATTTAGATAAAACTCTTTTACTTTTTGGTCTTATAAAGTGAGTTCTATAAAGTAATCTAATAGAACCCTTTGAAATTTGTGACTCAATTTTGTTGTAATGTATAGATTAATATACTATTTTTTTAGGTATTTTTTATCTATTATCTTTTTAAACCAATACTAGCTATATACTAACTAGTGTTCTTTTACTTGCTGAAATATGAAAATTAACGGTCAACTAAACGTGTTTCTTTGCAGATGGACATCATGTCTCAAGAAATCCAATTGCTGAAAAATAAGGTTTGCGTTTCAAATAAATTTTACACACATTGTGGTTTTTTAATTATTTACAGTTGATAAAGACACATGAATTATCTGTCAATTAAATATTTGCAAACATAACCTGCAACTTTGGGCTTAATTAATTGATACCTTAGAACCAAATAGTTTCTGGATTGAGACTAGATGACATGTAAGAGCTTTCTGAATCCATCAGGTGAGGTATATATGGTTTCGGAAAATTGACTCAAATCACCATTCCATCCATATCCATTTAAATTGGTCTCTTATCCATTCATTTTCTCAGTATCGATATTGCAGACCCGGCGGCAAACCTGGTGGAATTTGATTTTTTTTTTGTCTTTTAGCCGGTTCTGCAATATTACAGGTGTTGATATTACGGATGTAATGAAATTTGGGTAAATCTGAGAGAGAAATAACTAGGAGACCAATTTGAATTATTCAAATGGCTATTTAAGTCAGTAGATTGGAATTAAAAACTAGGATCAAAGATTCTATTGTTGTCCTTCTCCTTTAACATGCATCGTGGTATTTGAGTAAAGTGCTTGCTAATGCCTACCATGAGTTTGCAAGCAGTGACACAGACTAAATTAAACTTTACTGTTATGGGACTTGCTAGCAAGAAACTATAGTTTGTAGCCATTATCAAAGGCTAATGAGGTCCAGTCCAGGATAGTTTAAATTTTGAGTTGTGGCCGGTTTATTATCTTGGCAAAAAGTTGATTACCGGTAACCCAACGGACCCTACACGGAATATGCATCCAAACATATGAATGTGAGAAGATATTTTTTGGCTTATTCGACGACTGAGGGTTAGGGGAGAGGATCGAGCTTGGAATCTATATAGTATCTGACCAAAATTGCGCTACCCCTTTGCCAATTGAGCTATACATGTCAGAGGCTGTGTGACTACTGGTTTATTATTAAAATTTACACTTTGTTTTTTCATAATAGTTTTCTATAGAATGCAACCAGAATCAAAAGAAAAAAATGGTTTATATGTATGGGTCCGGTTTAGGGAAAACTTCAAAAAAAAAATGAAAAGCCAAGTAACATTCTTGTAACTATTCATCTGTATGATATGTACATGTGCATACACGTAATTTGTCTGATATGTGCATGAGCATAACGTGCACATGTACATAAAAAACAAAAAACAACTTTAAAAACTTGTATGCATATGTATCTATACCGTAAAGATGAATGGTTAATAAGATGTTTATCAGTTTTTCTACTTAAACTTCCCTATATACATACATATATGTATATATATATATATATATATATATATATACACAACAATACAAAGATTACAACAGAAGAACTAACAATTTCTCTAAGGAAGTTCCAGAACTTAATAGTACGTACACAAGAGATAAACTGTTTTATTAGTATTTTTATAGTACTTATAAAGCAAGTATATAATAAGAACGTTGATAAAAAAATTCAAAAGCATTGCATAAATTAAAAGGTTATAACACGATTTAATTCTTTAGTTCTCTAATGTTGTTTAACTTTATCGATAGAACTTGTTTGGACGTCCGATTTCATTCTAACGACTCATATTAACATATAGTTGTCTTAGAAAAACGAAAAAAAATGTTAGTTAAGTGGTTCAAAGATGGTCAAAAATCCCAAAAAAAAAAAAAAAAAAACCAATTGTTGTAGCCATAGCAGAAAAATAAGCAGAAAAATAAGCAGGAAAATCTGACAGCCTATACAGCTCAACCCAAAAGAGCATTTCTTAAAGTTCATGCTCGAATGCATTTAGTTTTGGTCTTCATTCATGGGCATGGAAATATTAGGTGAGATTTTTTATCAACACTTTAACATTAGTTTAATATAACACACATAAATATAGTTAAAAGTGTGGATGTAGGAGCATATTCAACGGCTATATTAAACTCTCCTTTTACCCATAAAAATCACCTAGGGAAAATTTCGGTCGGTGATTATCAACGTATACCAATGGTTCGGTAGAATCTGATGTTTTTCAAGAAAATACCAATAGATCACCCACCAAGAGAATACTTGAGCAATCGGTCACTAATTTGAATTACCCACCAACTTTTGTGATGGTTTTGTAACGAATCATCTTTTAGTAACGGATTTTCCAAGGAAAAGTCCGTACGCAAAAGTTTCCATAAATAGTAATGTCCATTTACCAATTAGTACACAATATATATTTGGTTGACTTTAAACAAGAACAAGCTCGTAATAAAAAAATACAAGAACAAATACATCATATGCAATTTTACACAGAACTCATACTAATTACAAAACACAGTCAATGCTAGGTGTGTGGATGATTTGGCCCGGGACCTAAGTTGCCGCCAAGGTCTTCCATCGTAATCGTCTATGATTTGAGTGTAAAATCACATGTGATATATATTTCTTATCGTGTTTTTTTTTATTAACTTGTATATCCAACCCGCTATGCGAGCCGACTAATCCCAAAACAACTACCAGCTTCGTGAGTAGCCCGGAGTCACCGCATATGAAGCTCCGTGACCACAAGGGGATTTTTATTATGACCATGTTGTCTTAGGTGTTTTTTTATTTCGACCTTGTTCTTGTATGAACATTGTCTATATATATCTATATTTGAAAATATAGTGAACATGACAACATGTACAGCCTATTGATTCTTTCCATGACATAGCAGTATGTCATTGCATGCATGGCTTATTAGATAGCTAACTTGCATATCTTTTTGGTTTATTGCATTGCAGGAAGGGATACTGAAAGCAGCAAATAAGTGCCTCCAAGAACAGGTAATATTAATAGGTTAATTGTTGAAGGGATTTACGGTTGTTCGGATTATATTTTCTTAAGAATACTACTAGGTGGGCAAAAGATTGCAACTTATGGCACTAGCTAAAGCTGCCAGATCTTGTTACTAAAATGGCTTATTTTCATAATGCAGATGGAGATGCAATATGATGCTGCCAATACGGATCCAATAATGACTAACATACCGTACCCACTAACCGTTCAAAACGAGATATATCAGTACTAAATATATATATATATATATATATTTATATATATCAGAAGTTATGTCAAACGTTTGCTTGTGAAATTGTCCATCAGAAGTGTGACTAGCCATGCAGCATATATATAGTAGTTACTCAATAAATGAACTGATGGATTTATGAAATGTAAAACTTTGGTTGACTGTTTAGCTCTTTAAGATTGTTTTATTTGATATATGTATGACATTATTATGAATGTGCATGGATTTCTATTACTAATGCCTTTGGACTTTGAATCAGTTTTTTATCTACTACATTTCATTTTGAACCTGTGTAGGTTACCTTAAACCCTAAACCCTAAACCTTAAACCCTACTTCATTTCTTTTTGAACCCGTGTAAGGTACCTTCAATATTAAGGGGTTCCATTCAAGCAGGAGAATGAACGTTAGAATGAAAATGTAAAATAACAGTTAATTCATTCCTGGTTCAATCAAGGATGAAGTTTTGGACTTGTGGAGGAATGAATTCATCATATCATATAAAGTCAAACAGTTTCTTTTATTTTCGTTTTCATTATTAGTTACTTCTTAATACTTATAACCGAACACCCGTAAGTTCTAAAATGCTATTGAGATCATGCAAAACGAACCGGCCCCAATGTGTTAATTAATTTCAATGCTAGCATTTGAGCCTAAAATATATAATGTTCAAATTGCAGCTTCCATGCATGCCTAGGCTTGCTAAATTCTATAAAACAAGGTATCATCAACGTTAATTTTTTCCATGAAAACAAATTTTTCCTTCAAGGAATTTTACAATTTCCAACGGATTAAAAAATATTTTACTTCTTATATTTTTTCAAATAGATTTGTAGGTGTTTCTTTGTAATCCGTCAATGATCTCCCACGACCATTTAGATTTCTATTTCAAAAAATAAAAAAATTTTAATCCGACAACTTTTTTTTTTTTGACTTTTATGCTTTTTCAACTTTTTTATATTCGTATGAGATTTATTTTGATTAATTGTTATAATGTGTACATGCGTATGTTAAATATGAACATGTTTGTGTATATATATACATGTCCATACATATATTATATACTATGCATGTAAGTGTGTACGTATGTGTGCAAGTATGTGTGTTGGTTGCTAATTAACCATATATAATGGATGTATGAATATATATGTTATATAGAGGGACAGACCTAGAAAATTTTTCAAACGGTGGCACCATATAATTAATATAGTATAATATACATCTAAAAATAATTACAAAAAATATGGTTTTTATAGTACCGATAGGGCTGTAAACGAACCGAACGTTCAGAGAACCGTTCGGCGGGAAGTTCGTTTATGTTCGTTTATTTAATAAATGAACGAATATGAACTATTTTCTTTTGTGCGTTTAGTTAAATGAACGAACATAAACAAGAGTCTCGTTCGTTCATTCGTGAACGTTCGTTCATTTACCGTTCATTTATATTCGTTTGTTTATATTCGTTTATATATTAAGTTTAATATATTATCTTTTATTTATTTACTTTGAATTCAAATAATATTTTTTTTATGTTCGTTTAGCTCATTCATTTATGTTTGTTCGTTTACGTTCGTTTAGCATGTTTACGAACGGACATAAACGAACACGAACACAAAGATTTTCGTTCGTTTACCGTTCGTGTTCGATCGTTTGTTCAGTTAAGTTAAACGAACGAACATGAACAAGCCTCCGTTCGTGTTCGTTCGGTTCGTTTATAGCCCTAAGTACCGATAAACAACTCCTAAACTTGTACCCGACGCGTCTTCATCTTTAGAAAACGGTCAATATATATCCAAAAATAATTACAAAAAGTATGGTTTTGGTTATTTGGGCTTTGTTTTGTTTGGGTTTTAGTTGCACCATTTGGATTTCAGGAAAATACGGTAGCACATTCTAAAACGATACGGTAGCACCGTTAACAGACCTAAATTTTTTACCCTTCGGCCACGAAATAATACGGTGGCACGTGCCACCCATGCCACCACATTAGGTCTGCCCATGGTTATATGTGTAAGGGAGCGATCAAATAAAAACCACTTAATTTGTAAAAACCGTAAAAACCTCATTCCACCAATCATAATTTTTCATTTTGTTCATTTTTTTTTGTAATTATGAGAGGTTGATTAATCATTTTTATTGTGGAAGATGTTAATCATGGATATTATCATCTTCATTATTTCAATTTTAGAGAAATACATGAAACAGTTTCATTAAGTAGTATATGAAACAATTTTATAACCATATATGAAACAACTTCATCAAAAAAAACTATTATATGAAACAATTTCACAAATTTAAACAATTTCATGAAAAAATTTCATAAGATTAAGACGGATGAGAGTAGTTTTTACGTTTTTTACAAATTGGAGTGATTTTCATTTGATCGCTCCTCTATATGTGTATATGATATATATATATATATATATATATATAGGAGCGTTCAAATGAAAACCCTCTCCATTTGTGTAAACCGTGTAAACCAATCTCAACCATCCATTTTCTTAATCAATGGTCAAGATTTGTATGCTTTATTTATGAAAATTAAAAAAAATTAAAAATTAAAAATTTAGTTTATTTCATCAATAAGGATAGAATGGTAAACAATCATTAACAATCGGTAACATCCTAATGAAACATATTTCATTAACTATTTTATAATGAAACCTTTTCATATTGAAAACATTTACATAAACATTAATTTCATAAAGAATAAAATATAATATGCACTCGTTTCATCATACATATATTTCATAAAGAACAAAATCCATTATGCAGCCGTTTCATTTTCATTCTACCAACTAAATGGATCAACTTCAATTACAATACAACATGGATCACCATGAAAATGTTTCAGGAAGCATGAGTCAATTAGAGCATAAACTGTATACCATATGCTTTGAAGAAGCAAATAAGTCATTTTACAATGAAACCTTTTCATGTTTATACGGTTTCATGAACATTTGTTTTTTTTCTTTCTAACCAACATCAACCCACGATTTCATTCCTAAAGTTGTTGTAATCTTCATAAAATGTTTCATGATTCATTGAATACCAAATCATTAAAATCAAGATTTTAATAATATAATATATTTATGAAACGTTACCTTTTTCATTATTTCTTTTATTAAATTTCCTTAAATAATATGTATTAATAACTTCCCTAATTATCAAAAAAATGTGGAAAATGATAGAAATACCCTTATTCATTAAATTTAATTGAAAAAAATGGAATTTTTTTATTGGTCGAAATTGGTTTACACGGTTTTTTAGAATTGGATGGTTTTCATTTGAACCTGCCCCTATATATATATATATGTATATATGTATATATATATATATATATGTATATATGTATGGGGGCGGTTCAAATGCTAGCCAAGATTATCGTGTTAACTTTGTTAACCGATCTTGGCCATTAATTTGAATAATAAACGGTTGTGATTTAATGATATTTAAAAATTAATTATTAAATTAATATTTTCAATTAACATATGTGAACAAAATATCAAAGGGTATTTAGGTAAAAAGTAATTTATCATTGATACACCAGTTGTCAGACATATGAACAACTTGTGTATATCCTCAAAACACATCAAACAAAAAAGATTTGACATATGAACAACATATGAACCGTATGAGCATCTTATGTATATTCAGGAGCCAACTCTGTTGTATGTACATGAACACCTACGCAGCTTGTGTTCACATGAATCACATATATTGTTCATATTCATGTGATGTGATTGTGCATATGTATCGATATGAACATCTATTGCCTTTGATATGTGTTCATTTAAACGAATTCAAATGTCATACTAATCACTTACCAATAGGAACGCTTTGATCATTTTCTTCATTATTGGAATTCGAATTGCGAATGTAGTCGTAGACGATTTTGTCATTTCCATTGTTGTCAATCTGTTTTAAAATAGGATTATCCATATTACTCGGACGATACGGAAATCTTTTACACTTACGAAAACAATMTCATTATATGTAGAACATCATTTGTAAACTATGATCATGAACACGTATGAAAATAAAATTCAATATTACATCATGATCAATTAGTGAGATCTTTAAGATTTGTAACTCCCAATTAATTATTAGGGAGTTACATAAATGTCAAATTACCTAATTACCTTTGTATTTAATATATGAGTTACATTTGAACATAAATAAAAGATGGAATATGATTGGTTAAGCTTGGTTAGTGATACGTACTAATTATTTAGTACGTAAAGTACCTTTTTACTCTCTTTTAGATAGGTTATTTTGCTTTCATATCCCAACTTTGAGTCATTTTATCTCTTTTCTCTGTTTTTATGATAAGAAGAATATGTAACCTGTTTTGATGGATTTTGGTCTAAATTGATCTTATTTTGGACAGATTGGAGCAGGTTGATGATGCGGGAATGTGGTAGCATGACCTGATGGCTGATAGAGAGATGGATGAGACTTATAGGTGATTGACATGACTTTGGAAGACACATGAAAGCTTCCTAAAGTTGAACCAACTGTATTTTGGTCTGAATAGCTGGATGTTTAACAAGACTAATTGTAGTTCCTTTCTAAATATTAGTTTGTAATATGTACTTTTTAGTTGCTTTTGAACTAGGTGGGTGTGAAATGACTATTTTGCCCTCACTCCAACCTTAGTATAAAAAGGGTTGTTGGGAGGATTTTCAAATACACCTCAACACCTCTCTCTTCTAATCCACACTTTTCTCTCAAGTAGTTCTCCCAACTACTTGGAGAATAAGTTGCTTTCTAATATTACAAAACTTTTGGCATTTCAAGTTCTTTAATCTCTTTCCATTTACTCGCTTTATTTAATCGCTTTATTTATATTATCGTTATTTATATTCCGTCTTTTATTTATTTACACTAACTTGCATTTTATTTCCGTCATTTATTTATTACGCTTTCCGCATTTTTATTATTCCGTTATTTATATTCCGTATTTACTTTCCGTATTTATATTATGTCTTTATTTACCGCACTT